AAAAAAAAAAAAAAAAAAAAAACCAAAAAAAGTCCTCCTAGGAAGTACGTATCCACAGCCCAGTCTCCTAGGACTGACACAAAGCCCTGCTGAACACCAGCGTACACTTCGGAAGTATAGAAGATGTGGCAGTAGGCCACCATGTGTGAACTACACAAGAAAATTTTAGCCATTGTATGCCACCACGTGTTAACTAGGAAATAAAAGGTTTAACCACTGGGAACCAAACACATACGATGCTACTCTGGTGACACCTTTAGCTACTACAAATGGGTAGGCACCATCACTACCTCACTGACTTCCCACTTCAATTTGCTCACCAACTCATAAACAGGCATTTATCATGCTGAGTAATCCTTAGAATAAAACCGTCCCTGTGATAATACATTCAGAAATTCCCAGTTTCCTGTCAGTAACTGTACCCAAATCAAGTCCAGACATTGATTCTACCAATATATTCTTTATTTTTTAAGTACCAGTAGGCATGGATTTATAAAGTTTGATTATCCAAATTCATTCTCTTTAAAAAAACAAAAACTTGACACTGTTAGCAATATCCAGAAGAAAATCTCAGCAACAATCCAGTGAGAAAAGCAAATACAGGCAAATTCAAAGCAATTAAGAAAATATAGAACATGATCCTGGGCTTCATCCAATGGCATTGAATATTTGATTAGATTCACATCAAATGGAAGGAATATCAAACACAATTGTTTGTGATCTATGGACCGAAAAATCAGTAATCTGAGGGGAGGAGCAAGATGGTGGCTGAGTAACAGCTTCCTTACAACTGGGCACACTGAGACTTGGGGAGAGAAGACTCCAGGCATCTCTGGATGGTGGGTTCTGCCCAGAAACATCAATTTAGGGATACAGGGAGTCAGCGAGGGACTTCTGGACCCCATGAGGAAGACAAAAGCAGTGGAGAACCAGCAAGTGGTTGAGTGTGTTTGTTTGGTCTAATCCCTCCAGCAGCTGTTTAAGTACAGCACCAATGAGATTGCAAACTGGAAAGGCCTTACCTGTGAGCTGTTTTGGGTTTTTTTTGGACTTAGCACTCAGTTGAACTACCTTGAGAGAACTTGGGCAAAAGTGTTGTCTAGGGCCCCAGACTGCACTGCTGAGCCTGACAGAGCTAATAGTGTTCAGCTGTAGGCTGCTCAGAGCCATTGTGGGAGAACTGCCCCAGCAAGCTCCACTCTCAGGATCGCAGAGCAAGGATAGGGAAGAAGACCTTGGGCAAGTAATCTAGTGACTGAGCAGCCTACAGGTGGGGACTGAGATGCCTTCCAGCCTTGGCCCTCAGGGGCATAGAGTGAGACTGGGTTTTGCACGCTCTGTAAGTGGGGAGCTACTTCAGGAGTGATCGCAGCGACAAGTGCTTTCCTGGGAAAGCTTTTGCTTAGCCAAGGTTAACAGTTTAAAGTACCTTTTACACAGGCTGAGAGATTTAGACTCACCACGCTGCAGTGTTTAAGAAATCAGCAGAGGCCCCCAGTCTCCATCTTGTATAACCGTATCAGCATTGTGATTAACATCTCATACCCCAGAAGATCACCTGTTGCCCAGACAATAATCAGCAAGATATATATATATATACTGCTTTGTTGTTTTTTTAAAATTTCAACATTTTCCCTCTAGATTTTTCTTTTTTCCTCTCTTTCTTCATTTTTCTAGATTAAATATAATTTTCCATTATTGCCTTCTTTAACAATTAGAACTTCATTTTTGCTAGTGTTTCTACCCCTATTATTTGGTTTTTCCCCCAGTTTTATTCCACAAAGTTTTCTGTTTGCCTGTTTTGGTTTGATTTATAGCATTTTTGTCTTTCCTCTCTACTTGGTGGAGATGGAGTACTGTGTCTGAAGAGGCTAGCAATGAGCTGATTAACCTCAAGGGAATCACCCAACCTTGCACCTCCAGAGGTTGGGGGTTTTTCAGGTTGGGTCACACCCATATTTGCTCCTGTCTCCCTCTTTCTGTGACTCTCTTCTTTTTGTCAATATTCCCTTTTACTCACCCCCTCTCCTTTCTCGTTCTTCTTTTTT